TCACGCGTGTCACGCCCTCAACTCCACTCGAATAGAGGTGACGATCATATCAACCTCTTCCTCACTGAACAAGTCAGGTATATCCCCTATACACAAACAAACATATCTAAACACCAACAAACTGAGAGCTACTGACAGGATTGAGAGGAAGGAGAAGGAAATGTGAGAGGAGTTTGCAATGTGTACCTGATACTACTAGCATGTCATTGATCAGCATCAGGAATCTGGGCATCTGTGTGCAGGAAGACTGTGCCAGTATTCTTCACTCCCACCTTTATGTACAGTGCAGCGATATCACTCTACAAAGAAAGAAGAAAAGGTTGGAAGTAGAAGGGAAAACTTTTCACGATATTTCATATTAAGCTTCAAATAAAAAGAGATCATTGAAATGCAGTGCATGTGTGGGTGTGTTACCCTCAGGTCACTGATGCCATAACCCTTTCTCAGTGTGATCTGAAATACTTCCAGGACGCTGAGAAAAGCAGCCAACCGACACAGACTCTGTTTCCCGCTACCACCTACTCCAATCAGCAAGGCATTCCCCACAGGAGACTCAAGAATACGACTTATCCTACAGCTACACACCAACACACACGCACACCAATAAGGCTTCAGTTGCAGCACTTTCCACAAACAGGGTGCAAAGTAAATTTAAAAATGAAATTTCTCAACAAAGGAGGTGCGTAACCTTCAGAATTCATGTTTTTTGATTGTCAACATCAGGAAGACAAAGTAAATTTTATATGAGCTGTTTTATGTATTATTTATTTAATATAATGTATGTAAATTCTGTTAAATAAAAACCCTGGGTTTTAAAACCCTGAATTATGTGATTTTGTTATTTTCTAGCCAGCTTACATGTGTTGCATGGCTTCTTCAAACAGCACCAGGTTCATGTCAGAGTACAGCTCATTGTAGTGCTCAAGAGCATCCATCAGGGTCTTCTGAAGCTTCTCCAGGTCAGTCACCTGTGCGTAACGTGGCTCACCCACACCGTGAGCGAAATGGGAGTAGATCAATGGCTGGTTGATAAAAATAGACTCATCTATACCCTACAAAGAGAAAAAGAAAGCAAAAGATTACTTTTGATAAATGGTCTTCCAGTTCACTGGAGGCCCCAACAGGTTTTTGAGAAGTTATGCTCACTTCAAAGTATCTTTTGCCTGTGTCTAGCAGAATCTTGTTGAACAGCTCTACGTCTTTCTCCTCCATCAGTTTGTCTGAATACACACGAGAAGACTCATGCAGCCATAGGTGAACTAGGTCTATAGGGTACCGCACTTGCTCTGGCAGAGCGAAGAGAATTCCCTACACACACACAAAACATAAGAACACAGAAAACAGCATGTCAACACTAATCTGTATAAAGTGACTGAACTACCAGCAGTGTAATATATACAGTGGCATAACTAGGTCACTGTATTCATACATATGTCCATAGTACTCAGTAACTGCATAAATGCACACACTTTAATCTGTTCCATAGACACATACCTGGAAGATGTTTGAAATGTCTCTGAGGTTGAAAATGTAGTGGAACCGAATGGCTGTGGGAAGGAAGTTCTGGCTCATTTTCTGATGCAGGCAGATGGCAGCCTAACAAACCATATATCAATGGAAAGCTTATTTATTCAGCTTTCAGGTTATGTATAAATCTCAATTTCGAAAAATTGACCCTTATGACTGGTTTTGTGGTCCACGGTCACAAATAAATGTTCACCCACCAAATTTATTATTCTCTGTATACGGAGAAGCAGGCAGCCCAAGACCAAGTCAAAGTGTGTTCACATGTTTGAACTGTTTAGCTTACCAATATCTGACGTGACTTTATAAATTTGAAAAGTTTCTTTCTGCCAAATAATTCAGCAAGCCAGGTGTCATCTTCAGTGTTTTCCAGTGTGCTGTGTAATGCCATATTCTGACATTTTCAAGTTTTGATTCACTTGGCAGACCTGTACCATTTAGCAAATAAATGTTTTTGTTTGTGTTTTCTTTTTTTTTTTAATTAAATGTTGCATATATAGCCGTTTTTTATTTACTTTGGACTTATGTGTATCATTTCTTCAACATTATAGGTGATTCTCCTCCAAAATGTCTGGCTAATTCTCTTGGATTCCCTTTATCTGGCTGGGCCTTGATGTTTTAACAAAGTAATGAGAATCAGAGATGGTTTTTGGTCAAAGCCCATGAAAGTTTAACAGAGGGCAGCCAGGCATCATAGTGTGGTCATGTCAGCCCAGGTCTTTCCCGTTAAAAAATGGGACTGAGGCATGAGAATTGAACATGATGAAAGAGTATAAATTCAGCCATATTTGCCAGACACCTGTACTAGTAACGATTGTCAAAGCTTTAGATTGATAAAGAGGTGGGGATATCTTGATAGGTATTTTTTATTTTTTTTATTTAGCTTATTATTATTTTCATATCACCATTTGTCAAAGAGAGTTAAAGTGTCAAGGAACACATTTGTTGCACTGCCTTATGGAAACACTGCGCACAGTTGATACTGATGGCTTTAGTTATGTGGACGTTTTATTGGAAACCTTTTTCCTGCAGACCTGTTGCTGTAGGGAACTGGACTGGAAGTTTCCATGCCAATGCATGATGACACTTAAAATGGAGAGAATGAGCATGAGCCAAAAATAAATAAATAAATAAATAAAAATTACGTTTAATAAACAAGATAAGGATACTGAACTTAATTATACTGGCAATATTAGTTTGGTCACCATAATGTTATTCTTTTAATGCATGATTTACCTTCCTTTCCAAAGAAATTGTCTTTATCATCTTTCATGGAAAAAAGTCAAATCATAAATTTCAAGTCCTAAATTTCCCCCTTCTGTGTTGTTTTCTGAGAACTACACCAACAGGTTTGCCAGGGTGCTGGTCAGTGTTTGCCAAAAAATGATCTATCTATCATTTAATCACTCAATCAATCAATGACATAATAAATAAATTAATTGGTTGATAATAGAGATGTAGAATATGGTCATGCAGAATATGTGCTTTATAGGTACTAAGAAACAGCCAATATGCTAGTAATATGCATGCTAATCAGCAACTAGTTAAAAGTGAGAATTGGTCCCTATACTAAAGTGTTAATAATGTATTAATTTAAATAAATTATTTCTTTATTTATTAACCAATTAATTTAATTTAATGTATAAAAAGGGTAATTGTGACTTTTTATCTCACAGTTCAGACTTTCTTAGAATTGCTTAAAGTCAGAATTGATATAAAGTGAGAATTCCAAAAAATAAAGTCAGAATTGCAAGATGTTAACTCGCAGTTCTGAGAAGAAAAGTCACAATTACATTTTTTATTGTTTATTTGATGGTGGAAACTAAAAACAGAATTGAAAGATGTAAACTTAGAATTGTGAGATGTAAACTTAAAATTGTGAGAAAATAGTCTTAAATGTGAGATAAAAAGTCAAACTTACCTTTTTAATTATTTTATCCTGTGGCAGAAACAGGCTTCCATATTAATGTAATTACTTTGTTTAACATGGTTAAAAAATAGTGAGCCGCTAGGGCGCTTCCTACACCACTGTTCCCATTCAGGATTAGTAGAAGATTAGTAGAAGTCCCCCATAAGCAATTTTAAGACATCATGTGTTCCTCAGTTCATAAATGTCACACAATTTAAATCTCATAAAAACACACTTGTGCAATTTTCCACACACATCTAAGTTGTATTGCCTTTTTGCAACATTTCGCCTTTTTTCGATATAAAACAGAGATGTTAGAGCTTGTTGTCGGTGGAACTGTGTATGACTGGATAAATATGACCAGAACTGCTGCAGTCCCTCACAATGTCACTTTTCATTAACGTGTTCCTCAACTCTCTACCCCACAAGCACTGTAAATACTTACTGGTGACAGTAAGCACATAAACATACACAAAGTCTTATCCCCTCCACGTTTATCCTGGCATCATGTTCTCAGAAACCTGGTATTTTTGAAGAGGAAGCCTCCAGGAAGACAAGCAGGGTGACCACCGCTTTTAAAAGGTTCCCCATCCATGGACGGAAGGTTTCTCTTTGCTATGAAAGGCACACGAGGCCCCTGTGCTCGTGTCCTGTGACGCATGCAGGCCAGCTGGGCAAACAGTCTTCCCGTCCACTTCTTAATAAGAAAGGCAAAGCACATCAGCTCCACAGGTAACTTCTGTATGGGCTCTTTATTTGGGTTTTAGATGGCTGACACTCATACCTCGATCTGGGTCACGCGTCTCGTGTAAAATCAAACCACAGACATCTTCTCCGGTCGAAATGTCCAAACCACAGGGTCTCCATCTCTGGAAGGTTCTAGCCTGTTCCACTGACCAGGGGTAGTAGGGAAACACTTGTTTTCACAGCACTGGGTCAGAATCAGACAGGGGTTTTCAGGGTGAGGGAAATCCTCATGCAAAACAGCGTCCTGTGTTCCCATTGCGGAGGCTTTCCTGAGAAGATGGGGTTTGTTTGCTGATGTTTGTTTTCCCTGTGCATGCATGGTTGTCTCCTAATGACATATTATTAATCATACATGATTACAGACATTTAAAACTAAACAAACAAACAGTTTGTTTTAAATGGTTTGGTGGCCTAAAAAAATGGGAGATCAAAACGGCTTATTAGGTCCTGTAAACTTGTGTATATTTGTGTGTGTGTGTGTGTGTGTGTGTGTTTGTGTGTGTGTGTGTGTGTGTGTGTGTGTGTGTGTGTGTGCTAAAACAA